ACCGAGGAGAAATGAAAGCAAGAGCCTGCTGGGGCTGGAACATTGGCACAAGATGTTGACAGTGGGGTCTCACACTGGTGTCCTGCTTAGACAGCATTTATTTTATAGGTAGAGCATGGAAGAACACCAACCTCTTTGCCCCCCAGTCTGACACCCTAATTCCTGTTCAATCCCTTATTAGTTATCATTTACAGTGATTTTTATTTATTTTTTTTTTTTACCTTTTGGGAAAAACGATCCCTTTGGGATCGTTCCTTCTTTTGGAGAAATGATGGCAAAGCCACAGAAGGTGGTGATGGGGTTTCTGGAGTTCTCCGAGCTAAGTACTCCTCTCCCTGGAGCCATGTCACTTTATTACCACTTGAAGAAATTGGTCCTGTGTTTAAAGTTCATCTGCTTGGGAACCTGTTGTGGTATCTTGGATCAGGCTGCTGCATGAGACATGTGCATGCTGCTAGTATGAGTCCTGCTGGTCTTAAAACAAGGAGTGGCTGTCCAGAAAACCACCCTGCATCCTTCGATAGAGTCACTATTGTAGGTTTTATTCTTTTTTAGTGGCCATATTATAAAAAGAATATATAGCATCACCATGGTAATTAAAATAATTGTTTAATGGAATTGTTGGTTTAAGGCTCTTGTCCTACTTGTTGCCTCTCTCCACTTGGCAAATGGCAAGACGAGTAATTATCCGTACCTTGCCTGGCTGAAACGTATTCACGGGATCTTTTATAGCTGAGGGAACTGAGGAGTTTGCTCAGTACGGTGCTTCGCATGAAACGCTTTGCCTCACGGGCCAGATTTAGGGTCTCTAAGTAAGTGCCTCAAGAGTTGTGCTCACTTTCACATGAATAAAAGTTTGATTCTTGTCCAACTTCAGAGAGAAGGAGAAAAAAAAAAAATCACTTCTAAGAAAAGCTTTCTCCTAGTGCACTCTGAAACCTTCCCGGTGTGCATGGCACTCTGTCCTGCACAGAATAGCCAGACTGGTTCCTGGCTTCACAAAAACCAAAGAAACGTACTCTGTCCCAAGCATCTTATAAAATTAGGGCCCAAGTTTTTGAATCTCACCCACTCCAGTAATCCTGTTGCCTTCTGAGGTTCTACCACATGAGCAAGATAAGTGAATTCATGCTCTAATTTTAGATTTAATGCAATTTGCTGAGAAGACTGCAAATGGAAAAGGATTACTATGGGGAGTGGGAGTAAACTGATGATAATAATGTTACTGAAAATTGGACATAGAAGGCAAACAATCTGTATGCTTGCCCTCTCATCAGGGATTAATAACCACAACCTTGGAAGGCTCCAAAGGATTTAACTCTGCCTGAAAGCAAGACGACTTGCTGGCTGCAGACAGGAGAAGTGGGTGGCTCGTGCCAATATCCCCCCCCAGACCATAAAGGGTTAAATTGCCATATGCGTCTACTAAGTATGCGTGTGAAAATTTCAAAAGCTTTGAGTTAGCCATCTGGCTCCTTCTCCTACTGGGTGTTTAGGGATGAAAAGGGAAACTGGAAAGGTAAATAGTGTATTGCTTGATGTGTTGATTTTCAGCTGAGATTTCTCTCTTCAGTGCCTAGTCATATTTGTCCATCTAAATGAGTGGGATTGACTGTGTCTTCCCAAGGGGGGGGGGGGGGGGAAATCAGCATGTAAGCGCTGGGAGAGCTGTGCAAAGCAACACACTGCCTAATCTAACAGCTGAGGCAAATTTATTCTGGGCTGCGTCCAGAAAAACGACTTAAGCCTTTCAGTGTCTGACTCGTGTGCTGATGCCCAGGCGGTTTCTCGCACCGGGGCTCGGCGTAGACCACGCAGGCAGGGTCAGCTGCCTCAGGCTGACATTCCAAAGAAGAGCCCAAGATGCAGGGCAAGAATCGTGATGACCAGAGAGGGTCAGGCATCAGTTTGGACAGAGAAGTGAATGCTTTCCTAGCTTTAAATATGTATGCCAAGGCAGCTTTTTCTTTTCTCTCCCATTTGTCACCTAGGCCAATGCCTGTCTCATTTGGGAGGCCAGGCCTGGACACATCCCAGATGTACCCTCACAGCCCACTGCGCTGGAAGGTCTCCAACTTGGCCAGCGATGAACACCAATGCCATTTTTTACCCTGTGATTTGTGTGTGTCCCCTCACATTGAGCATGTCTCTTAGTCCACCTGTAGCAGACCAAGGCTCAAATCTCCTGAAGTCTATCTTGGGCTATGAACAGAGGAAAAAGCTGGTCTGAGGTGTGCCCCAAACATGTACCTCCAGCCCTGCTGTACGCTCTTCTGCACCCTGAACCCCCAGGTCAGGCCCCTCCACAGCACCATGTTTACATCTCCACTTGCCACAACCTTTGGCAGTTCAGGCAGTAGCTTGCCCTGTGTGTCCTGATGCCTGGAACTCCTCCTCCTTTGTAAAAGTAGCTAAACAACTCTTTCATGTCTAGCTTAAAAATAAGCTGTGCCTTGAAGTCATCTATTTATGCCTTTTTGGTTGTAGTTTTATTGAAAAAGCTGGTATTAACATATTTATATTTTTATTCAACAACAGTTAGCTAATTTGTGCAACACAAAGAATGCAGCCATGAACAACAGCTTTCAAAACAATCAGATTTACCAACTTTACCATCACTTACTCTACACCACTGAAAGCTCAAACTAAAAAGAGAAAGAAAGTTGGAAACGTTCACAATGACGATGTTAACTTTCCATACATTCAAGAAACCGATCTGTAGTAGTGCTGTCAAAGACAGGAATGGAATACTGGTCTTTGAACGGTTTCTGTTTATTTCCTCTATAATCACTTCATGGTATTTTGGTTGGGTATTTCATTAGTTTTATAAAGCTCCAAAGATATATTTCTTTATTTAACACGTTCTTTTTGGTACCCAAAGCTGTAACAGAGTAAGGTACTTCAAATTAAAAACAAAAAATTGTTGTATTAAGATCTGCTTTATAATAACTTATCTATAGAATCTTACTTGAGAATGTTAAAAGCTAAATATATGTTTTACAGTACTTTAGCTGCAAATGCCAATATGAGCTGATAGCATATTTTTTTTTTTTTTTTTTTTTGAGCTGCAAAGGTTAATGGAGGAGGCCAAAAGTCAAAGAAATTGTATGACACCCTTGAAGAAGTAGTTTGGCATTAACATGTTTTCTATACAATTTACCACATTCTTAAACCTTTTTACAAGAAAAAAAAAAGCAATTTTGTTGAATTTCATTAGAATAAATATGTACATATACTGTCCATGCCTGCTACAGCATCCAGTATTTTATAAACAAACATTCCTCATTCCCTTTAAAATTAACCTACACATTTCATACCACGTGTGTTTAGTGTGGCTGGAGGCTGATGCACATGCATTTGTGCTTCTACACACAAAATACACAGCGTTGATCCAGAAAACGTGAAACAGGGAGTTCATGTGTTGCGTTAAGATGTCATGTAAAAGCTGTAGACTTTGTTTTGTTAGTTCTTGTAAGCAGATTTTCACCCACTCTTTCCCCAAACCAAAATATAAAAGCATGCAGATCCTTTTCATCCATACATTCTCCACTTACCAATAAACCAGTGCATAATGGCTTAAAGACCTTTTTTTTCTCAGGACTTTTAATATGGGCAGATCAACAGGGCATCCAAGTTGTGCTCTTTTATTCATGGTTTGAAGAGCAATCCTTTGGGATATTAATTTTCCTGCCCGAGCTATTTAGCTATATGTGGCAGGACTTTATTTTCCTGGATTGAGAGGACTCCCTGCCTGCTGCACCATTCCCATATAATTCCTGCATGTGCTACACCGATTGTGTGTACTTTCATTTTCCATTTACATCACTATTCACTTGAAAACCGAGCTAGATCTCAAGATATTTATGTGGAAGAAGCTTTTGTTTGGAGTTTTTGATTTTTAGTATTCCACCAGGAATAATTTTGTTGCCCAGCAGTGGGCTCATTTTAAAACACAAAAATTCTCTGAGCAGTGCTACGTCTCCCAGAACCGTTCCTTTACAGTCACAGATACCATGGCATCGCCTGTATTCCCCAAAGGCCACGATTAAAATAACCATGCTGCAATAAACAAACGAGGGACTTTTGTTCCCACTGAAGCCCAGCATTGCCTTCAAGTCCAGCACTTGAAGCCAAGGGTCCCAGAACTCCAACGCCCAGCCGGTAGGAGGGGTTTGTGTGCTAACTGCCAGGCTGTGTCTGACCAGCCAGGCCCTCTGGAGTGGCAATACCAAGTTTTTTAATAGTCCTCCACGTGATGAAGATACTAGTTATTGTTTTAAGCAGAGCAAAGAGAGCTGTGGAGAATGGACTTCTCAAAATAAGCTGGCTGAGTAACTATACCAGGCTGTCACTTGCTCGGGAAGCTGAAGCACAAAGTTAGTCATGTGAATGGACAGATAAATAAGAGGGTGTTGTAAAGAAGGGAATGGGATGGGTGAGACAGGGCAGCTTTTCACCTGCAGGGATTCTGCTTCCAGTTACAACTGTCACGAGGCCCCTCCACCGTGCCATGTGCTCTAGCGGGATGGGGCTACTCATTCACTCAAACTTAGCTGAAAGACGGGAAGACGTTACTGAAAAAAAAAAAATAATCAAGAGATTGAGGCAAAAAGCTCTAACAATGTGGTAAATGCTGTGGACTGCAAAAGCAGGCAGTGCACCAGAACAGCATGGTCCTGGGAACCACTGAGACCCTCCAAAGGACTGACGGGAGGTGAGGAGTCTCAGCCCTCCTCAGGGACGCTCCCAAAGTGAATAAATACCCCTGTTTGCTTAAAGGAACCAATACAGACCACAGTACTGGATTTGCAGTCGTGCCTTTTACTCATACAGTTGCAGTGATGGAAAATAGTTGGCTTGCCACCAATAATGATACAGGCTGAGGGATGAAAGGATGCAACCTACAAATCCCACCACAGAAGCCACAATTTTTGTGAAGATCACATCCTTCTACAACTCTCAAGAGGCTGGTTTGTAAATATAGAGGGATATTGATAAATCTAGTGCATTTCTGAGTTCACTTTATCCTGAAATATGTACAGATTGTTTGTCGCTGCTATAGCAATGATGTTCTCAGTTGGGTGCCACGCTGTGTGCAAGATCTTCTTAGTAAAGTCCAAACTGTCAACACTGATGTCATCTTTCCTCCGTTTGCCTCCGACGCAGACTCTCCGGGGCTTAAGAATAGCTCGTGGTTTACTGCTCTCTCGGGACGCCTCCAAGGTAACATCCCGCTTGGTATTTCGGTCAAACATTCGGAAAAAGTTGTTATATGCACCTGTCATTATCACACTGGAGAGAGAAAGAGAGAGAGAGAGAGAGAGAGAAAACAAAGACAAAATTAAACAGCAGCTTGTGGGATGTCTATGAACATGACTGGACCAGGACACTTCAGCTTTAACTTTAGGATTAGACATCCTCTGGTTTCAGCTGGGAAAGAATACAAAACAGGGTTTCTCCCAGTACTCCCCAGAGTGAATAGTTTTCTTCTATCAGTGTCTTCCCCTTTCTCATTAGAGTAGTCAATGAAAATTGGTTACCCCAAAGCTTGTGTCCTGAAGCATGCACAAATGTCAGGACCCTGGCATCGTGACACTGACTTCACAAGACAATAAAAGTAGTATGTTTTAGTAAGTTATTTTTAATTACCCTCCAGCTTTTCATGAGCGTTTAAGGATCATGTACTTCAGGTTTTTTTCTTTCTTTCTCCAGAGCCTTACCTTTTCTGACAGCTGAGATTTACCATGATGCTAGAAACAGTCTTTAAAAAAGAATTTCCAAGTATTTCAAACCTTTTGATACAATAGTAAGATTTAGTACATAATTACATATTTTAATGAGTATTTTGAAGAAAGGCATTTTGAAAGGTTCTGAAAAATCAGATTGAGTTTGCACAATTCTTCCCAGAATAGACCTTTTTCCCTTCTAAAGCCATAGACCTTGCAAGTCTAGGCACCATTAAAATTTGCATCTACAATGCTTCTTAAAAATAAAGACATTGATAAACAGGATTCTGTCATCTCTTCTATGAAGTTTGAATGAAGGTTCAAGTCAAGACATATTTCTGTGTCTGGGAGAAAGGGACAGAAAACATACCTCAATCTGTATAAAAATTACCCCATTAATCAGCTTGTAGTTTGAAATAATGGATTGCCAGTTGCTTCATTCCCCCAGTCCCTAGGGGAGGATATTTTGTCACTAACTTTAATGAATTCAGGATTTCATCCATGGCCCTCAGGTTATTGGATTAGCATAATCACAGATTTCAGAGCCTTGCTCGAAAGCTCATCCCCTGTGAACTTTTTCCACATCTAAAGACAGGGCCACGCTCTACTCTCCTGTCTCAGCCCCAGATAGGGAGTTTTTCTCAGTTTCGATTCTGGAAGGGGAATCCACCCCGAATGGCCAAGTCTCCACAGGAAAAACTGTACAGGTCTAAGACTCAGGCAGTCAGGAACGATTTGCCTTCCTAGTACAGCCCAACAGAGCACGCTTCCCGTGCTTTGCACAGAATAAACTAACCTCCATCTCAAATGACAGCTACATTGCTTTGTACAACAGCACTTTGCTGCCGTTTCCTCCTTAGGGGGCATCTGTGCTGAGCAGCATCCGGGCCAGGAGACCACAGTGTATACAACCGTGGCAGAATCAGGCATGAACTATACTCTGTTGTACAGACACTCACTAGCTGATTAGATTAGGTGCTGCTGGATTCAGGAGCTGTCTTACACTATATGGGCAGCCTCCAGCCAGTGCTGCCTTGATCTCATTTGGGGCCATTAGGAGCTACTGTAATACCAATGAATAATATACTGGAAAATGCAGAAATGGGAGCTGCGCAGCTGCCTGCACTTCTGCACTACGGCTGCTGACTGACAGCAGCTCTGCTCGCTTCAGAGCCACGGCAGGGTGACCGGAGCGGGTCAGCCGGATTTGTGCGCTGTGAATCACTAGCAGGACTGCCAGCTCCACCCTGCTTCCATGCTTGCTGATGGCCTGCTGGAGTTGGGTGACAGCTGATTCCACGCTGGCCTTTTTGCAGCTCCTGAAGTGCTGAAGGGAACTGCTGCAAACCAGACAGGCGTAGCCCAGAGACACAGCGTGCTCTGCCCTCAGCCACAGCTCTCCTGCAGCCTTCGCCCTGTCGAGAGCCTGCTCTGCTGAGGTCTGCGGGCAGCGCGCCCCTGGCTGTCCCGCCGCTCTGCTGCTGAGCTCCGGGGCGGGCAACTCGTCCGCACGTAGCTGCAGCCAGCCCTGGCAGGGAGCTGCCCCCAACCTGCCCTGGGGGTGTCTGCAGTGAGGGTTCCCTTACCAGGTTTCCCACCTGCAAAGACCTGGCACAATCCTGCTTAGTGAGGCACAAGTTAGCAATCTCACGAGCTAAAAAAACCATAAAGAGTCAGTGTGACAGCTTGATAAAATGTATCCCACGAGCTGCAGAAAGCCTATTGATCAAGATTAGTGCCCGTTTCAGAAATTGAATCAACAGCAGTAAATCTAATGTTTCACTCCTTCCAAATCACCATGTCTTGTCATTACGGCTCCTGCTGTAATGGTTATTCACAACATGAAAAACTCGAGGTTATTTCATATCTCAGTGCTAACATACACAATTTGTGATGCAAACAACCCAGCACAATACTGTGGCTTTTTTTTGCCCCCCAGGCAAAATTTTTAAAGAGGTTCATAATGCTGGGGGACCCCGTGCCACGGGCTGCAGAGCTGTGGTTCCCAAGGGAACAAGGAGCATCCCTCCAGATGAAGGCAGGAACCATCAGGGGAGCAGTTTTCATGCTGGCAGAGTACCAGTGCACCAAATGCACAAAGAGGTATTTGTCAAGAATCTTATTTTCGGAGGTTTTGCTTGCAGTAAAATGGCCGTTACAGTCCATTTACTTTTTAATTTCTTGAACTCTCGCATATTTTTAAAAGTCTGCCTCCTTCGGTTGGATTTACTGCAGTTATTTTTTTTAACATATGTAGATGACTACTTTTCATGCTGGCCCTGTTTTTCTGCAGTTTAATGGCTCAGTAAAAAATAGCATTATGTAAATGAGAAACTGCCCATTCTCGTTCAAGGTCACAAACACAGACAGATTATAACCTTACCTGCTGCTTAAAATAACAATAAAAGGGAGTGAGAACTAGATGTAAACCTGCAATTTATTCCTGTTCAGGAAAATATAATGTATAATAATGGAATGTATGCCATAAGGAGAATTTTTTTTATATACATATATTAGAATAGAAATTGTAGCTGAGTGTAGGAAGAGTCTGCTCTGTATTTCCAGACTCTTTGCCCTGCACAGCAGTGTTATGACAAGTGCTTGCACAAAACCCTTGCAAGTGAGGCTGCTTCAAGAAACCAAACAGAGCCCCTCACCCAAAGCACCCCACATTAATTCATAAGTGTGTAAGGGAGCACCCAGAAAAGCTCTGCCTAACCACCCTTCATTTTACAAGTTGTGCTACACATGGTCAGAGGTACTGTTGCCTCAGCCACGCAGGGGTATTTAGGATGCAGAACACACTCCAGTGCACCCTGAGGAGCAGCACACCGATAGCTCAGGCTGGAGCAAAGCTGCTGAGAGATGGTACCCAGCTCAAACCACCATGGCTACAGGCAGCATGATTTACTCATGTGCGGCCACCCTAGCCAGTGCTCTGGAAGGAGAGGCAGCACCCTGTATCTGCAGGGCCCCAAATGCACTCGCACAGCTCCACGCTAACCCCCCTGCACTGCCCCACGAGGGGAACGCATTTTCCTCGCCGCATGGTGCTGCTCTGCGGAGCACACGGAGTACTCTGCTCCCTCTTTTAGAGCTGCTCCAAGCAAGGTCTGAGGGTTTCTGACAATTCTTCAAATGTGTGTGTTTTGAGCGTCAACACAAAATGCTACTAATTTGCGCAGCCTGCACGGACACCTGGGCATTCTTGCTTATTAATGGCACAATCTGAGGCACCTCACTGCCAAACTTCAGTCCTCATGTGGGGTCGCTATGGCCCAAAGTCTTACCCCCTTTTTTTTTTTTTTCTTTACAAGTAGGACAAAAGTATTCTTACAGAAGGTAAAAGGGGAAGGAGAAACCTCCAGTGCAGTCCAATCCTACTTTTATTATATTGACTTTTCTTCTTACTTCCCTCCCTAGTTGCCATTCTGTTCTTTTTCTCTTTCTTCCCCTACAATCTTGACTCTGGATTTTACCACACTTTCCAGTTCGGTTTCCTTTCCCTCCCCTGTTCCTCCTCCCCTCCTCTTTTTCCATTTCCCTCTACCCTGCTCTACAGTTTTTAAAAAACACTGTATCTGCTTCTGTCTCCTGCCAGCGAAGTGTCCTCCCTAGCTTCATCTTCTGTTCTCTGCCCTGTCATGTCTCTTTTGCTTCGCTCTGTCTTTTCCCCTTCTCTGCTCCCTTTTTTTTTTCTTCTCTCTATGCATTTTACTCTTGGAGGTCTCACTGCTCACCCTTTCTTTGCCATCTTCCACTACCTCCAGTCTTGCTTACTCTCACAGACAACTTGCTCAGCCCTTGAGGACTTTGGGCTTCCATCCTCGCCTTCTCCTTTGGGCTGAACACGACAGCCAGTTGTACCACTGATGTTTAACTTAGGGCCAGAGTTTTAGGGTCTACAGCACCACTCTAACAACTACTGATGGCTTCAGTATCTTTAAGCATCTCAGTACCTTTAAACATCTGGCTCTCAATATTTTGGTTTTGGTAATGACTCTTTGGTAAACGAAATGCTTCAGTATGTGGCTTCCACCAAAGCCTGCCTCCAGACTTGTAAATCTCTGCAAAGGAGTGCCTTGAGGCACCCAGCATGAAAAGGGACCATTTCTTTGACCTGACACCATCTCCCCAAGTATATTTTGAGCCCCTAAATTTGCCAGATGTCACCAGCATGTGTACCAGTGCAGAACAGCACAACTGCAGTCTCCTGGGACTGACAAGCAAGGTCCACCAGATCCAGTTTCATGACAAGCTGACCTTATGAGAAGAAAGGATTGGTTCCAGGAAAACTCTTCAAAAACATTTTTCATGGGAATGAAAAATGAGATTTATTATGACAAAGGGAAAGGAGGAAGGAAGCACTGCTGGAAACAGCGGGGGCCTGTTGGCATACTGGGGAATATTCCTTCATTCTGCACTGTGTGAAGCCACTGACTCCCCATCACGAAGAAGGAACTTCTTTAAACCTCCTGGGGAGTATGCTGATGGGAGAGCTTGACACCGGGTTCAGGGCTGTGGCACTCCGGTACAGCTGGCTGGGATAAGACTAGGAATAAGAACAGGGGATCCTCATGTCCTTCCAAGCTGATATTTGACATGCCGAGCCTTGAGAACAAAATGATGTCTTCGAGCTCTCCAGCATGGACCGTGCTGCCAGACCGGGAATAGACTGTTAACATCTCATCCACTGGGACCTGCCAATTCCACCTGATTAGAGTGAAGGCTGACGGATATTCAGTTGGATGAATGACAGTTCAGTAGGAAAGGACTGACTGAACAGTTGTATGTGACTTCACTCATCTGCTTACAGCACATCACTTATCATGATGGTACTCAGAAGTCTCCCTGGAAGGGTTCCCATACACCCATTCATTTGAAATCTTAAAAAAAAGAACAGTAATTAAGGTATTCACTTACTACCATGTAGAATTACTACACTATTTTTTTCTTTTACTGGCTTCCCCTGTAACTCACAAACAGCTCCATAAGCACTAATTTTGGAGGTTAAACTGAAGTAACAAAATAAATTTGGTTGGCAGTGAGAAAAAAAACAATGTCTTGCGGGTCATTATTAAAAGATCTGACTTTGGAAGTAAATGGAAGAACTAAATTAAATTGGTGTATAAATAGGACTCACATATTCTACATAGTCATGTAATGATGTATATACAATAAAGATGGCATGATTTTAGTGTAATATACTCAACTGCAGATAATATGTGCTCATCTGGTTGAATTAGTCTAAGACCCCTGCTTGACTCCCTCCCCTGACCACTGTTGCTGCCAAAGTACATAGTGATTAATGTGCCCTTCAGCAAATGAGATCGGCTCTGTCTGATCATATTAGTTCCTGCTCATTGGAGTAACTAAGCATCAATCACGTTCTAATCAGAGCTCACGTACATTGATTTTTTTTTGTAAACAGCCTCACCATCAGGTTCTATCATAGCCTAGATTAACTCCTTAGTAATGACAAAAAATAATAAAAAATATTTTCATGTAAATTATAAATATGCTTTCATTTTTAACTGAACAATCCTGTCATTTTAAATTGTCATTGTAGCTTTAAAGTCTGCAAAAGGTAAAAGTAACATGTTTAGAACTGCAGTTGTTACTGTTATGTGTATGTATTAATAATACAAATACCATATTGCAGCATCTCTTACGAATACCCTTGTTAATAGGCATTGCTTACCTTTAGCAGTAGTCCTTTAAAAAAAAAAATACATACTAAAAGGACCAAATTAAGTGACCTTACTATTCAAATGAACTGTTCTTTAAGAGTTACTGGTACCCAAATATAATTTAAATTATGATCCACCCAAAAAAAAAGAAAATCCTTGTAGCATGTAGCAAAACAATGTAATACTTGTCATACACAGAAGCAAGAAGCTCAGAAGAGTGCAAGTTCATCAGAAAATGAACATCAGTGCTGATACATTTGACTCTTAAAAAGAAACAACTAGATTAAAGAGAACCCTTATCTTTTGTCAAATGTTGCCAGCTACTCTACTCAAGTTTCTTACAATCCAGAGCAGCATATTGTGTTTAGTGACAGATTTGGTAATTGTGCACGACTAACAACGCCCCAGTGTCTGGGCAGTACCATAAATGAAGCCCCCACAATCTCCTGTTCCCACTTAATAATTACTCACAGCATTGCTCTTTCTGATCTGTCAAGTAGGAACAAAAATATTACACTTGCTTTAAATCCTGACATGGAATAATATTTCTACTATTACCAAGCAACTATCCAGAGAGTGGTCTTACCGCACTAATGAGGATGGCAGCATTTCATTCAACTACAGGAGAAAGACTGTGGGCCTGGGAACATGTGGCTGCCCATCCTGTACAACGCACTGGGAATTGCCATCAAGGATAAGCAAAATGGTTTAAAAGGACTTGAAAAGCCCTGAATCTTTGTCAAAGTTTCACAGTATCTAAATGATTTGATTGCTCTGTACTTTTGTGCCATATTTAGGCAGGGATCAGCACCGTCTGTATTTCCCAGGAAGGCTTTATTTTGGTATTTCCAGTAGGACCAAACTCAAGCAGTAACCAGTCTACTGAGACAACCCTCTGCTAAACCATCCATTCGTGCGTGGGTTTGGGAGGTTCAGAGAGAAGCTCCAAAACCTGGGTCTTCCCCTATAACTTCTGTGGGTCATTCCCACTTTCTCACCCTATCAAAGCCATTTCCACAACAGTTGCTGCCCAAGTTGCAGTCATAGCTCTCTGGGAAGGATTTTGCCCAGTGTGGTCCGCCTATGTCATTTTAAATGGTAAGTAGTTTGTATCACAGAGGATACTGAATGCTGAGTTAATCGTTGTCAGAAAACACATTACCATGGCATGCAGACAACAGAGATAATGGAATTATATTGTTGCATTTGCATAATACACAATATGAGGTAAAAGTTTTATTTCTTAGTAAATACAGAATCTCTTCATTGAGCAGGTACAGGAACTGAGCAAAGGCAAGTAGTCCAAAGAGAAGATGCCCCTTGCACAGTGTACAGCATTACACCTTACCTGCATTACACTTTACCTGTGGAACACAGGACTAGAGGAGACCTTGTTCTGCACTTCCAAGTTCAGACACTTGTGGTTTCAACTAATGTCTCAATATAACTGCTTTCACAAATTTCCTGAGCAGGATGATCAGAACAGTTGGGCTTCTTACATCTCCACTACTCAGGATGGGAAGACTGCTCCACACTGTCACTGTCTGAATAGGTATGAACCACCTCTAATCTCCAGGCTACAATTACCTGTTGTCACTCAATACCTATTTGCTGTTGTGTCATTATCATTCACATTTATCTTAGCTAGATCCTCTTCCTATGTATACCTCCTTGATATACTTACTAGAAGCAAGTATAATCTTGGTTTCTCGTTTCAATTTTGCTAGGCTGATCAAAACCAAACTCCTGCCCTCTCCTCTCTTTAGAGCAGCTGTCCATTTGCTCCATTAGTTCATCCGCCTTGGAGATGAGGGACAAGAAATGAGTAACTGCAGTCCAAAGGTCTTTGAATAAGACCCAAACATGATATCACCACTACTCCTTTCTCTGCTGGATATCCCAGATTTGTCCATTCAAGGATGATATTTGCCTTTTTCACAGCTGCCCCACACGCTGTTTCATAGTCTTTGCTCAGTCCAGGGAGGCAGGTCTGCGTCAAATACAATGAGATGGACCGTTTTTCCCAAACGAGAGGCTAAGTTTGCTGAAGGCACAGTTCCAGGCTCTCAGCGAGTGCCAAACTTTTGCCTCTTGGCTCTTAGCTCTGCTGAGCCAGAAGTCACTGTGTGCCATTCAAAACTGGCTCCTGTGCTCCCTTTCGCATGCATTTCGTAGGCTGCTAATCCCTTCCACAGTCACCTAGTGTATGAATGTCCCTGTGAGTTGTTTCCAACTGATAAGGTGAAGGCTTGTGTTTTAACTAAAATCCTCACCTTGCATTATACTCTTGGATTTCATCCCTTTATTATCCCGGTCCTCTCGGCTGCTCGGTTCTTCCTGTACAACATTCCTACTCCCTGAAGTACTGCCGCCATTTGCTAACATCATGGCATTAGCACATTTCATCCTTGCTCGTGCTTTGACTTGTGCCAGTATTTCTTATGAAAATATTCAACAAGATATTACGTCCAAGATAAAAAACAGGACCACTTCTTCAGTGCACAGGGAAAGGGACTGCTCTGATGGGGGTAGGTACCCGAAGAAACTGTCATTTATGCCACTGGGAAGGTGGCAGCAGTTTGTGGAGAATCAGTGGGTACCTGTGACTGCCTGTCCTGGTTTTATCTGGGATAGAGTTAATTTTCTTCCTAGTAGCTGCTTTACTGCTGTGTTTTGGATTTAGGATGAGAAGAATGTTGATAACACCCTGATGGTTTAGTTGTTGCTGAGCAGTGCTTACGCCAGTCAAGGACTTTTCAGCTTCCCCTGCTCTGCCGGATGCACAAGAAGCTGGGAGGGGGCACAGCCAGGACAGCTGACCCCAACTGGCCCAAGGGATATCCCACACCATATGACGTCATGGTGAGTATATAAATTGGGGGAAGAAGGAGGAAGGGGGGGATGTTCGGAGTGATGGCATTTGTCTTCCCAAGTCACCGTTACGTGTGATGGAGCCCTGCTTTCCTGGGGATGGCTGAGCACCTGCCTGCCCACGGGAAGTGATGAATTAATTCCTTGTTTTGCTTTGCTTGCACACATGGCTTTTGCTTTACCCATTAAACTGTCTTTATCTCAACTCATGAGTTTCCTCACTTTTACTCTTCTGATTTCTCTCCCCCTATCCACCCGGGCAGGGAGTGAGCAAGCAGCTGGGTGCTGCTGAGTTGCTGGCTGGGGTTAAACCACGACACTGCTTTTCCTCCCTCCTTATTTCCAGTAAATGAACTGGTTTTCTGAGGCAGCTCATGTGTAAATACAGGATCACACAAGCTTCCTTAGTGTGTTGGTGGGGCTGTGCAAGTCGGCAGCATTCTTTTTAGCTTTTGCAGCCTACTTATGATTTTGGTGAAAACGGACAGAATTTGAAGGGTTTTTTCCCCCAAGGTATGAGCCAAGATTAACAAGGCATACATCGTGTCTAATGAGGTCAGCGACACAACTGCACCAATATCCAAACACCTTTTATGAACCTGAACACTGATATGTGAAGATGTAAATTGATATGGAAGATAACCATGTGCAACAGTTCACTTTCTGATTGTTCCCCATCATATGAAGACATGTGGTGGACATAAGGATGGATTACCTACCTGTCTGATCCATTCCATGCACATTCAAACTTGTCAAAGATGCAGTCATTTTCATAGAGAGAACACAACTTGCTCCTAAGGTAATCATGGACCTGTTTCGAAGAAAATAACTGTTGTTATTCTTGAAATGAAACAAAATATAAAACTCCACAACCAGCCCCCCCGCCCCCGCTTTATCTCCCACGTTCACTTTCAAAATGTGCTGCACAGATCAGTAGCTTTGCAGAAGATACTGGGTTTAAACTCTGAAGAAGCTGTCTGTACTTTTCCACAGCCCAATTAACCAGGTGCTACACAATTATTGTTGCGGCAAGGCATGAAGCATACCTCCCTCAGCAGGCTGCAGGCTGCCCCTCTTCAACATATTTGTTTCCTGCTTGGGTGATTTTCTCAGCGCTAGCCTAATTCCCAAAGACATTTCACCAGCTGATACCCTAGACGTGATAATTAATGTGCAAGAAATCTAATTTAAATAGCAACAAAAATGTCATATTCCAAGGTAAGTGGACTCTCACTTGTTGTGGCAGAAAGAACTTCGCTCTATTAGAAGAACCTGTAGTGTCTGGTATTACATATATTTGGGTAAGGTATTTCAGAAGCCAAATACAGTACAAGGTTGCAGTTGCACTGGCTGCAAATTAGAACACTAATTAACCCAAGGATAACTCCTATTTGGCTGAGACTTAAAGACAACATTGTAAATTCTCACTTACATACTTGAAAAGTGGGACTAACCAGCACAAAACCTCTCCTCTGGGCCACACACCTCTGCTGAACAAGGGTTATCATAAAGAGACAGATCTCATGCAAACTGTTTCAGTCCTTTTCTGAATTTGATTAGTTTTCCTTCTGGATGATTGGTTTCATTCCACAAGGAAATAATGAGCTAGAAAATCCCTGCCTAGATGAATTTACTGATGCACTTTCACTCCTGATGTTTTCTTCTAGCTTTTGTAGAAACTGTAAAACACAGATGTGTAGTTGGCCTCTCGGAGCACACGCCCCAGTCCAATAGCTGAGGGACATAATTTAGCTGTGGCCAGAATTACTGGTCCTTGCAAGTCCAGGGAGACTGCTCCTGCTCATGGATGCTCAGCATCCTCCTCTGGCCTTGAGGACATAAACATTTCTTCTAGTAAGACAACTTCTGTTGAGACCATACGAGGGACAATGACCTTTCACTTATATTTTCTCTAAACTACCCCCTTTTCGATAGTCAAATTGTACAGCATCCTAAGAATATTTGTAATATAAGGTTAAGGATTATAAATTTTAGTCATGGATCAATTTTCATTAATAGGTGAGTGACCACTGAGCTGTACATCAACAGATAATGTCTTATACAGCAAATGGTAGATGCAGATAAAACACTTCACAATTAAAAGCATTTACCCTCACGGTGAGTAATAGGTCAGAACGCTTTTAGTACTGATGCAGTTTCTTGCACCCTCTGTAATTAAATCCTTTCATTTTCTCTTTACTTAAAGCCCATTCATGCTAGCAGAGTAATTTGTTACAGAACTGGAATTTTTCCCTTTATCATCTTTATGAGCTCCCAACACTTGGAAGAAGTAGAAAGGTTGGGTAAGGCAGGAGAAGGAAGTAGATTGCTTTCGCCTCACTGACTGGCATTTCTAGGTCTTCCTCTTGTTACCATTTCCAGCAGCCATCTGTCATGACCACTGTCACGTATACACCCTTTGCAAAGTGTGTCCAACTCCACAGCTTGGAGCTGTGCCTTTCTATCAGCTCTGTCAAAAAGCATTTTGAAGTTCCTCGCTCAGATTTCTTACTGATCTCTTCAAGGTCTCAGCTGCTTTTTCTTGACTGACTCTGCCTGCGGACTTGCACTACTGCCTTGAACAACCAGCTTGCTCTTCAAGTGGACCCTTTACCACAGTTGACCACATTCAGACCCTCAGAATGACTATGAAAAACTAACTGGAGGAAACACTTAATTTTTACCTTGTTTGCATGTTCATCTGCCACTACCAACTGAAGGCAAAATCAGATTTGCCTTGTCGGTTACCTACTGTCCTTACCACATATGAGTAGTACTTGAATCCTAACCAAATTGATTCCTAACAAAAGGCATTCTCCTTTACTTCACTGCACTGTTTTAGGTCAGACCTTCATGGAATTATCTAACAATTCTGTGCTCCAGACTAAGACAGCAACATGACTACACAGGGAGCTATTTCCCTGGGACTGAACAGCCACCATCAGAAATTGCACTGCTAGGTGGCGACACATTGCTCCTAATGCCTATGCAACAGATCTTGCCAGAAGTGGACCAAGCTATTTCCAGCTATGAACATGTTCACCTGTGGTTGCTGCTGGTATGGTTCTGCTGGGGTAATTCAGCTGGGTAACATCAAAAGAGTATCCCGATAGGCAGGGCTGCCTTGCGACTTTCCAGCACTGGCCGCTCCACTGTACTGGTCTGTTAATGCTCTCCAGTGCATCATACTCTGCCCTTTTTTCTTTTATGTGAAGCATACACAGGAGAAAATCATGTTGAATCACTGTCAGCAGATAAAGTGTTTCAGCAGGGCTGCTCTATGCAATAGCATTCTTTTAGCCACAGCGCTTATAAGGAACAGAACTTGCGTGAGGAATTTGATTTTTTTTGTGATACTAAAATTGTAACCTGATAATGAAGCAGTACGGTTATAGACTTTGGTCTTTCTTGCAACCGTGTGGGGAAAATCTCCTGTTTTGACCCTCTTCATGAGTCTCTCAGCTAGATAATATCTAAGTAGCTACCATGCAGCGGATGAAATGAGAATTTCAATCTTTTAATTAATATCTTTTAATCTTTTAATGATATACACGTCATCATAATTATGTGGATATGTAACTAAAAATGTTAGGTTTATTTGTTGCCTTCAAATGATCCACCCCAAAAAACTTTCTGAGATATTTCCAAGTTTATAATGAGATTTATGTATGTGTGAGAGAGATACCTCTAAGACAAATTATTTAAAAGAGTAATTTAAACCACTTTTTCTTAAGAACAGAATTCTCTGTTCTCTGCAGTTGAGAAACATGAAAGGTTGCCCAGAGCCGGTGGGACCATGTGATTCCTATGCAGTCCTGGCCTAGTGGCTTCCTAAGGCCCCTGAGTTCCAGATTCTCTTTTAGTCCACTGCAATGCTCAGTAACACATCTGTGTGCTCTTTACAAGGCATTGGATAAGTATTTGAAAATGAAATGCAATCCATAGGTTAAAGTAAGGCAGTGAGGACACTGTTATATTTGCAGGGGTTTTGTTGTTGTGTTTGGGTTTTTTGTTTTTGTTTTTTTAATAAGCTTCTGATTACAGTAACCAGTACTGAAAAATTTACATTATATTCATTTTCCACATCTTAGCATGAAGAAATCATAGAATGTTTTGGGTTGGAAGGCACCCCTAGAGGTCATCTAGTCCAACCCCCCCGCAGGAGCAGGGACACCGCTAACCAGATCAGGCTGCTCAGAGCCCCATCCAACCTGGTCTTGAATGCTTCCAGGGATGGGGCCTCCACCACCTCTCTGGGCAACCCATTCCAGTGTTTCACCACCCTCATTGTAAAGAATTTCTTCCTTACATCCAGTCTAAACCTACCCTATTTTAGTTTAAAACCATTACCCCTTGTCCTGTCACAGCTGGCCCTACTAAAAAGATTTTCCCCATCTTTCCTATAGGCCCCCTTTAGGTACTGGAAGGCCGCAATCAGGTCTCCCTGCAGCCTTCTCTTCTCCAAGCTGAACAAGCCCAACTCCCTCAGCCTGTCCTCATAGGAGAGGTGCTCCAGCCCTCGGATCATTTTAGTAGCCCTCAAATATAACTTTTTAATTGGCCCCACTGTTAGGTGCCAGACTGATTTAAAGGTGGCCAGCTTGTTTCACAGCTACTACACGAGGAAATGAAAGCAGATGTCAAAGTCAAGACAAACAGGTTGGCTTGACCAGCTATTCCCCTCCAGGGACAAGGATGCCTACTCCATTAGCATAAGTATAAAATAATACATTACCTAAGTTGCTAAAATCTAAGATATGTTTCTGTTATATAAAACAGTCTCACCCTTACCCTCCTACTTCATTTTCACAGCATATCAACATTTCTAACACATTTAGCATTACAAGTACTGCCATTCTCAGAGCAAAACCAATTCTGTAGCTTTAAAGGCACACAGGCTCAGACCTCCCAAAGCTAACAAGAGCCACAATGAAGAGTATCCACCAAAATGTAATGGGTGCATTGGAAAACGCTGGGGTCCACTTTGTCTACTAAACACTAGCTAATGAACACCTCTGATGTTATCGATGTCAAATTTTGGTTGTTTTGACAAGTCACACTACCAGACTCTCATTACAAGTTATTTTAAAACCAATCTTAATGATAGTTACTGTGAACTCCTGTACCCCCGCCCCCCTGCCATTACACAGACACAGAAAACCAGGGACTGTTCCAGCAGTGCCGCAGGACTGTCTCTATGTCAGCAGTACGAGCCAGGTGAAGGACATTTTTCCTACTTTGCATACTCTTCTGTATTAACAGCTTAACAGCTTTTTCTCATTGCATTTTCATAACAAGCAGATTCTGTGTCACAGACATATTTTCCTTTTTCAGGGCAGAGTCAAAAAATGTAAGCTCAGCCCTCTATTGCCAAACAGAACAGATGTCAGAGTACAAACTCAGCGCTGGCTGGAGCCACTGGCATTTTGTCTGGATAATATTGCAATGAATTCAGGCAACCAGATAGATATGTCTGTCTGGCATTTGCAAACTGCTGTGTCAGTGGTGATGTTAGTTTAACACCGATCACTTCTAGAACGAGGCACAAGGGAGAAACACATAGATGAAGTTTAAAAAAAAAAAGTTTTGAAATGACAAAGGTGTAAACTTCCAGCACTCCCAGCGGGACCAGAATGCTAAGCAACTCACAAAATCCTTTCCTCAGTTTCTTTTAAATGTTAATAGTGAAATACATCACTTTGGCATCTGTTTTCAAATGAAGAGATTATTTCCCTTGTTAGAAGCATCGTTTCTTTCAAGAGCCCACTCCAGCGTGAGTGTTACCCTGACTCCCCACCGTTACACTTCCTTACTGATGCTGAAATTGCCTTTATGTAACTACAGGGACGCCTCTATAAAGTTTTTAACCACCTTCATTAGCAGCTCTCTTAGCTAGCTGCTTCTCAGACCAAGCAATGAGAAGTTTAGGAAAACATTCAGGTTTTGAACTGAGATGCTTTTATATCATTGCACTTCAAGACGTAGGAGATACCTACCTGGTACGTTTCTACGGGCTTTGTTTCCATGTTCAGATCCCAAACCTTGACAGTGAGGTAATCTCTTGTTAGCATGTATCTACCGCTGTGACTGAATTTGACATCTGACACTGAAGAGATAATTTCTGAAAAAAATGATCTGTTACTGGGGTCTTCCGGTTCTTCATAAACTGTTCAAAGAAAAAGAAGCAAGAGAGAAATTAGATTTCTATGAAAAATGGTCCGTTGTACAATCTGTACTGTGTATTTCTTGTGAAACAATGTAGTTCAATGTACCAATGAACATGATATAGAATTAATTATATGCCCAGCAGCACTTAATTTATTCTTTTATCCTTATATAAAAATAGAAATTGTAAGCTTTAAATATTACACTAATTAACCCCATAGCTATGGGCCCAAAGCATCACTTTGGGAAATCATGTAAATACACCAGTTAGTTGACTACAGCTACCTATAGCAAGGCAGTGGTCATCCTTTCTGGGGTCCCCCATGTCCCGTTTCCTGACATAACCAAAATTCAGGTGTCCTTGTCACATGAAAGGTGCACATGTGGTCTCACAAGAGTCTTGGCATGGGCAGGAAGGGTGGTTACTCAAAGCCTGCCCTGGTTGCCAGAACCAGCTGGCCAGTCTGCAGGCTACTCACTGGTCATGTCTGGTACACGCTGGTTAGCTGATCTGTGTGCTGCACAATCCAACAAGGCAGGGGATCATGAAATGTTGCGTACAGCACCTCCAATACAGAGAAATCTAGCTCTTGTACCTAAGAGGTTGGTCATCCCTGTTCAACTGTATATAATAGTGATACTGGATGACTCAGACTGAATTGCAGGAACTTGAAACAACTGGTATTAGTGAGCTCTACTTCACCTGTTACAAGTCCACTACTCACCAAGGTCTCTTCATCCTTCCCCAAAGAGCCTGCACTAAATCTGTCCCTGCCCACCAGGTGCCTAGAGAAACTCTTTTGCCTTTCTGCAGGTACCTGTGGCCCTGTGATCCAAATGACCTCATATGGTGAATCTGAGTAGAAAGTCAGGCTTTCAGAGTCCTTCAGTTCTCAGCAAAATACGTAGGGTTTTGGCACCTATGTCTAGAATATTCTTTGAAAATTGGCAGTTTGGTAAGTGTCATTTTCAAGTTTCAAAAGCAAGTAAAGAAAACCCATGTGATGAGAGATGAAAACGTGCTGGAAGCAGAATAACTTTTTACTGTCAGTCAAAACAGAGTTTTTTGTGTAGTCCACTGGAACACTTCTCTCTCAACTAATTTATCTATGACTATGATTCAGACTGTTGAAAGCAACAAGGTTACAGTTTCCATCAGGTGAAATAATGTTCTGCTGAAAGTTAAGGGTGAGTACGTAGGCGAAATATGTGGGGTAATGCAAAAAATTATCGGCAATTTTCTTTGGGGGTAGGCAATGGAATGCACCCAGGCGTGCACATGAGAATAAGGTCTATATTTGAACATGTACCACATATCTAAATGGTAATGAACTACTTCAAAAGGGGGAAAAAAACTTTTCTTTTCAGACAGACTGTAAACGAACAACTTTAAATAGCTCTTTCAAAATTTGCCTAGACATTCTGCAAAGCAGGTATTTTGTAATTATCCTGTCAGATTTTCAATAGGAGTCTGACGAGCACAAAGCAATTATCATTTCTCATACCTATTCTCTTTAATCTGTCCAAACTATGCACTTGGCTGGCAGGAATTTCATCCTCCTAATTATGATGTGAAGTTTCTATTAAAACCAGGAAAGAAAAAAAACCCCACTACACTAACTGAACTATACCTTCATCTACAGCTGAGATATATTTTCTTGGCTCTGTGTGTCTCGTCCAACTCCCAATGATTAGAAGAGTAGCAGTATTTGTACCTGGATACTCTGTATTTTGTTAATTAATGAGACTAAACCATTTCATTCCTTATCTGCACTGCTTATTGCTTTTCTATCCATACCACAGTAAGTATTAGAAAGACTTAGATTAATTAACTGCAGAAACTAATGCAGGCATGGAAGCCTCATATCACCACAGAAAGATAGATAGTGGTAGGAATTCTAGTAGCAGCAATTCTTTGCAGATAGTTCCTACAGTCAGCATAACCAAGCCAGGAGAATTGTTACAGGAAATTAAGCAGCAGCTCCCAGTGTTACAGAGAAAGCTTAGCAACTGGCAGCATATGCCTGAGCAAACAGAACAAGGCATTGGCCTCAAGAAATGAAGGTGAGATACAGTGTCCTTGGGTCTTAGCTATTTCTGGTTTAGCATCAACATAAGGTTATGCATACACTGCAAAAAAGCACAGTCTTTGTTCAGTTTGGCTAACAGAAGTTGAGTAATTGGGAACAGGACAACAGTGGTAGCCACGTGGTGTGGACTTCTGCTCAGGCAAGCAATTCAAATTCAACCCTGGCCTCTTCAAGCTGATACGAGAAAACACGGGGCTAGCCCACCATTTGCAAAATCAGGTTTGCCACCTTGCACTGGAAACATATTTTCTCTTCATTACAGTTTAGACTTATCTTTTGGAGACACTCTTATGCCAGGGGGCAATCAGCACCCAAACCACAAGACTTCAAATCTAGCTTACTTTTCTATATCTAAATAAATCTTTTTAGACCAAGGCTTGGAATCAGAACTTTACTGAGTAGATTCAATTACAAATTCTATTATATTCCTCAATTAATTTATTAACTTCTTAATAACTTACTTTTTCCATGAAAAAGGGTATTTAACTTTCACTAATATTGTTCTTGATAACCTTCACAGTGCTAATTATATGAAAGACACAAAGCCACCTGTGTAGTTGCAAACTAATGAACATAGGAATCACAAATGGTCTGGTGTGCTGAACTCCCACATGATAGTGCTCAGACTTAAATATGACCTTGATGACAGGTCTGTGGAATAGAGAAATATCATGAGATTACAGAGGGAAGCTGAGCCAGCCAGTGTTGGAGAGGAGCCTCCAGGGAAGGTGTCATTCCCGTCCCTTACTCCAGTGGCAGATAAATAGGTAAGCTGGGAAGTCTGCTTAGGGAAGTGAAAATGTTCAATCCCTTTCTGCATGGCTTGCTGCTCATGAGTTAAAAACCAGGGTAGCTTTTAACAGAACTAAGTCCAGACTTTGAAGAGAAGGATGGGTTGGGTGAAGGATACTTGCCAGAGCACTGGTTTCCTGAATCCTGATGAAAATCTGCAGCATAAAAATACGCTGCTTCTTTCTCAAAAGGAACTGCCATCTGCTGAAAAACAAACTCTCAGCTCTTGTAAAAAAATTAAATTCTTAATGTTCCTTGAATTTCTCTGATCTAATGTAGACGTGGAAACTCTCCTTAGAATCAGTGGGTAGAAAAGGCATCTCTAAGGTGTGCATTTATTATACAGAAATGTTTGCAGATGTTTAAAGTGGAAAAAGAAAAATAAAGCCAGTCACAGCTAGAGTGGGTGGGAAGGTCCATCCCACCCAGCTTCCCTTCCAGACACCGGCCAAAAGAAAGCAGACACCTTGGGCAGTACCTGCGAAGCATGTGGTGCACAGGCAGTTCCCACCAACACCCTGCGGCTCCCAGCAAGCCAGTGAGTTGCACTCTGGGGTGTCGTAGGTGCTGCCACTAAAACTTCCCCTTTATTTTAATACAGGCCTGATTCCACAAACTTGAAAGGTCTATGTTTTGGACAAGATGCATCCAATAAAGAAAAAAACCAAAACCCAAACTAAACTTTAAGTTCATTTCTAAACAAGAACTAACGGCTGACAAAACTTAGGACTATGCACGTGAAATGTAACCTTCCTTACATATCTTGTTTCTTAGTTTTACATTACTTACCAAAACGCCTGACAGTGTGTATACTGGAGTGTCTCACTCCACTCAACGCACACCATACAAACCACAAGGGCCACCAGGTGTGAGTGCATGCTTTGAAATCCCACCGTAATGGTCTGGAGAGAGCCCTGGCAGCCACCCATACTGCCTTCCTCTTCAGCCTTGTCAGCTACCTTTCACTGCTGTACGATAGTCCAGTTTCCCAAATCGGTAAGTGTGAAAGAGGGAAATCGAACAGCTGGGAACGGAGGAAAGTGATAAATCAAACAGCACAACTGCGCGCACTCCACTGAAAAGCAGTGAGTAGATTGTAACTAAAATATATTTGAGGAGTCAACAAACCATTATCCCAACAACAGCTAAAAATAACTCAGCCTCAGAAAACATAAAACCCCATGTTTCCATAAAAGGTTTTTCTCTTTGTCCCATTTCCAAAGACACACATTTTTGATGGAGTCATTGGCATTATCCAGACTCCAACACCACTGAAAATGGATTTTGTTTGCTGGGCAGAGCTTTAGTCATTGCAGGGTGTAACTTCTGGCATATGTGAACTTTAAAAAATAATAATAACGCTAAAAATGGCTCATATGGTGGGTGCAGTGTCAGAATCCAATGTAGTATACAAAATCCTGTATTCCTCCCAAAATCATCAAGGAGTACACATGATTCTCTATGTTATACCATAGGACCTGGGCTAATGCATGAGCTGAATTTTCAACATTCTTTCCACTTCTCCTTTTCCTCTTACCTTCACTCTTTTGCCTGGATGAAATAAAAACATAAGCACTCACAGCACTGCTACAAGGCAGGTAGTTCCAAAATACAAATAATGTTTTTAAAAACATAAAGAAGAAGGATCTATTTAAAGGGAAAGCAATAACAGTATCTGAGATAATATGGGGCAGGGGTTAGAAAAGCTATCTGTCTAATATAATGAAAGATTATCTGGAGCTACTTTTTATTTTTGACCTGAATTTCATAGAATCATAGAATCATAGAATGTTTTGGGTTGGAAGGGACCCCTAGAGGTCATCTAGTCCAACCCCCCTGCAGTGAGCAGGGACACTGCTAACTAGATCAGGTTTATAAGTGTATAATGGATTCACAGGATAAAAGAAATGTCAACTGCATTCAGTTAAACAAATCTTTCATTGCTTTTAAAAGAGAGAAACATAGAGTGTAAGCTTTGGCAATTTTGTTATTGTAATCTGAGCACTTGATGATAACTGCAAGGGTTTGCTGTGAAAATATCAGTAAACAAAACAAAGAGAAAAAGAGAACTAGCAAGGCAGAGACCCTTGATGATCACTCTATGTAGTCCTTAAGGCAT